GTCCATTGGGTCGGTAGTGACCCGCCCCCACCCCCCAGAGGTTAGTGACACTTTGGTGGAAACGAGGAAACACTGGCATTCCCGCGGGCACTGTCTGCTGTTGTGCAGCGCCGGGCAGTGCCGCCTCCCTCCCTGCCAGGCTGCAGGGCCGCAGGTCGCAGCCCTTTGGTCTGGGGCCTGGAACTGAGGTTTTCATAGGCCCCACGAGTGCAGGCTCTGCCGGCCTGCAGAGTCGGGGCTACCCGGTCTTCAGAAGCGCTGATGAAGCTTGTAGTGAAGCAGGCACACAGCAGCGCACCTCGTAGGTGGGGCAGGGTGGGTGTTTCTACACTGGCCTGTGAAACGTGAACATTGACACTCAACGGGGTGGTGGAGGTTGTAAGCGTGGTCCTGTCAGGAGGCCAGCCGGGGCCTGGCTCTGCGGAACCTCGGTCTGTCCCTCTGGGCTGACATTGCTCATGTACCGATTCGCCCCTCCGTTTTTCTTTCCCCAGGAGTGTGTGTCCAGATGCAGGTCCAGCTGCTTCCGGGGACCCCTCGGGGTGCCTGAAGGGCCGATGCCCTGCCCAGGGTGAGGCTGACTGGCCTGAGCCTGGGGAATGGCAGCCCCCCTGGAACCTCAGGACCAGGCCCCTGGGGAGGGAGAAGGGCTTCTGATTGTGAAGGTGGAAGATTCCTCTTGGGAGCAGGACTCAGCCCAGCAAGAGGACGGCAAGGATGCCGAGGCCTGCCGCCAGCGCTTCCGGCACTTCTGCTATGGGGACGCAGGGGGGCCCCATGCGGCCTTCAGCCGCCTCTGGGAGCTGTGCTGCCGCTGGCTGCGGCCCGAGCTGCGCACCAAGGAGCAGATCCTGGAGCTGCTGGTGCTGGAGCAGTTCCTGACAGTGCTGCCGGGCGAGGTCCAGGCCCGGGTGCGGGAGCGGCAGCCCGAGAGCGGCGAGGAGGGCCTGGCCCCGGCCGGCGAGGCCAGCAAGAAGACCTACCGGTGCGCGCAGTGCGGCAAGGGCTTCAGCTGGCACTCGCACCTGGTGACGCACCGGCGCACGCACACGGGCGAGAAGCCCTACGCCTGCACGGACTGCGGCAAGCGCTTCGGCCGCAGCTCGCACCTCATCCAGCACCAGATCATCCACACGGGCGAGAAGCCCTACACCTGCCCCTCCTGCTGGAAGAGCTTCAGCCACCACTCGACGCTGATCCAGCACCAGCGCATCCACACGGGCGAGAAGCCCTACGTGTGCGACCGCTGTGCCAAGCGCTTCACCCGCCGCTCGGACCTGGTCACGCACCAGGGCACGCACACGGGCGCCAAGCCCCACAAGTGCCCCGTGTGCAGCAAGTGCTTCACGCAGAGCTCCGCCCTGGTCACCCACCAGCGCACGCACACCGGGGTCAAGCCCTACCCCTGCCCCGAGTGCGGCAAGTGCTTCAGCCAGCGCTCCAACCTCATCGCGCACAACCGCACGCACACGGGCGAGAAGCCCTACCACTGCCTCGACTGCGGCAAGAGCTTCAGCCACAGCTCGCACCTCACCGCGCACCAGCGCACCCACCGCGGCGTGCGGCCCTACGCCTGCCCGCTCTGCGGCAAGAGCTTCAGCCGCCGCTCCAACCTGCACCGGCACGAGAAGATCCACACCTCCGGGCCCAAGGCCCTGGCCATGCTGATGCTGGGGGCGGCGGGGACTCTGGCCACGCCCCCGCCGGCCCCCACCTAGGGCCCGCCCCACAGGGGGGTGCTGTGGGGGTGAGTGAGGGGCTGGGAAGGGAGTGGGGGAGTCGTGGCATGGGGTGGGGCAGGGCTGCTGGGAGGAGCTAGGGTGAGGCAGGGCCCCCACTCTAGCTGCACATTAAAGGCCTTGGAATTCAAGCCACCTCCTAACGCTCGGTCTCCTGGGCCCTGCTTCGGACCCTGGCGAGGGCCACTGGCCACCCTGTGACCGGCATCCCTGAGTCACCCTTCCTGAGCTTGGTCCCTTCCATCTGCTGCTGACCTTTCCAGAGCCCGGGGCCACGACAAGAGGCAGGGAGCCCAGGCTGGCTTGCAGACCCAAAGGGGAAGGCCACTCCAACCCCAGCCATGGCTGGCTGCCTTCCTTCCTGCCTGGGACTTTGCCGTGGGGCCCTGCGCGCTGTGGCTCCCCGGGCAGGGGCGCCACCCTCGTGGTCTCCCGTCTCAGGCCACGTCCTCTCCATGGGGCCCGCGAAAGGCCCGTGAGAGCCACGTCAGGCGCGCTGTCCGTCACAGGTCCCCTCCGGGCTGCGGCAGCTCCCTCCTTGGTCCCTCTCTACCCCAAAATTTGCCCTCCCCGCACTGCCCTCTGGGTTTGGCGTCTCCCATTCTTGACTCCCGGGGGCGGGGCAGGCGCACACTGCCTGTCTTATCTAGATTTGCAGTGGCGCTGATAGAACACTGGGACCTGCTGACTGTGAGGATGTTGCGTGGGGGCTGTTGACACCCCACATGTCTGTGAGGATCACGGGGCCACCTGCCAGCTCCCGAGGGACAGGCTGGCATAGTAATAATAGCTGACACTTAGGAGCAGCTGCTTGAGGCCTGGGGCCTAGTGACACACGTCGCCCCTCCGCCCTGAGTACCAAGCAGACGGGCTGAGAGAGAGTAGAATACCCTGCCCAGAGTCACATGAACAGCTGGGAGCTCGGGCTCAGATCCAGTGCTTTCCTAGTGTGAAGAACACCCCTATTTCAGGTACCCTAAGAATTACTGTCCTAATTGGTATATGGCAAGAGACGAGGTTGTCTGAAGAGAACGACAGCAGACAGGGCCACTGACCTTACATGCAGGACTGGGGTGAAATCTAACCAGCCGATGCCAGGGGCCATTGCCTGCCAGGTCCCAGGCAGGACTTGTTCTGGGGGCTCTTGGCGGGGGGCTGGGTTTGGCTGCTGGCGGCACTGCTCAAAGCAGCTGTCTCCTTGCAGGAGAGCCAAGAACGACAGGAGCTGCCCCTTGTCTTCATGGCTCAGTCTCAGTCAAGGTTTCTCCGCTTCAGTGTGAGTAGCAGGAAACGCACCTACACAGGCTTGTTTTCTGACGAGAGAGGTGGGAAGGAGACCTGGCCACCTCTCCTCCAGGAGCGGCCATCATTTGGCTGGACTTAGCACAGACTCCCCGTTTGCTTGCCATGATTTCAGTCCCCTGGGCAGAGTGGGCAGCGTGTCAGGACTTGAACCAGCAGGAGCCAGGGAATCCCCTGAAGACGTCACGCTGGCCTCAGCAACCCAGTCTCAGGAGCAACTTTCCCTTCTTGGCAGAGTGCAGAAGGGCATGGTTCTCTGGGTCTGATCATCCAGAGGCCATATTTCTGGGACAGACCTGGCCAGAGCATGGTAAGGGTGGAACGTGGCGGTTTGGAAAATATTTCACATGAACCATAAAACAGGAGCGATAGCTGGGGCGCCGTGAAGGGGACTTGCATGCCGGCTGTTTTTCCCAGCGGGTATGTCCTGCTTTGACGTCGCAGCTTCTTGGTACCGGAGAAGCGGGCCGGTGGCTACTCGCTGACCTCCGCCGTCAGGCGTGTGTGATGAACAGCCCTGGGCTCCCCACCCCACCCCTGTGCGGCCGCTGGCTCATCCCAGGTCCCTGCAGAATGCGATGCAAGCCAAGCTGGCCGCGCTGCCTCCCCGGACGGGCTGGGATCGTCGGCCTCAGCGCAGCATTAGCCCGCGATGCGCTTCCCCAGGCGCTTGTGACCTCACGGGGCGCAGCGCCCTGGCAGCCACCTTCTGGCCACCGTGGCCAGGGGCTGGGCTCCTGGGCCAGGGGCTGGCCCCGCCCGATCTCTGCTTCTAGCCAATCAGTTGCCGTGGAGCAGGAGGGGGCGGGCCCCAGCGAAACGGACCAATCGTGACTGGTGCTTGTTCTTGGTGTATTTTTTTTCCCCTCCACGCCCCCAAGCCGCGCGGTTGCCCGGGTAACTGTCCGCGCGGTTGCCCGGGTAACTGTCCGCGCGGTTGCCCGGGTAACTGTCCGGCGCTCTGGGCTTTGAAACTCTTCATGGAGGCGAAATCGTCCCAAGGAGGCGTTGGGCCTGCCATAGAGATGGCAGGCCGCCGGGCGTCCTAGAGAGGCGCGGGAGGAGGGCAAGGTCGGCCAGGGTAGCTTCCGGGCCATGAGCGACGTGTTCTCGGTGCTGCTGCGGAGAGCGGGCGTCCGCCGCCACTCCGCTCCGCGGCGCCGGGGCGCGGAGGCTGCCGGTGCGGCGGGAACCGGGTAGGGCCTGGCGGATCTCACTCCTTTTATCCTGCAATACGAAATGAAGGGCCCTGGTACTTGCTACATTTGATAAATAAGTGATGCAAAAGCCAGAGCCGCCCGTCCTCACGGTCTGGTCTGGGGGAGGCCGGCAGGTGGTCTGTGACAGCTTAGCTTCCGGCCGTGGCAGACGCCGAGGGGGCCCGCGGGGCCGCCGCGGAGGGTCGGGAGGACCCAGAACATTTATTCTAAATGGCCATGTGCCCACTGAAAATTCTTAACAATGGAAAGGGAAAACAGGGCCCTTCCTGGTGGCGCAGCGGGTTAAAGCACAGCCCTGCAAGCGAGCGCAGCCGCTTCAGTGGAGTTCGATCCAGGCCACGGAGGTGACTCTCGTGGAGCGGCAGAACCCCCCTGTCTCCCCGCTGCTCCCTCAACCGTGTACTTCGCCCATCTGCCTGTTCTGCTCCCCACTCTGTCTCTGGTGGATCCTCTCACCCCCTGCACCTCTGGCCTGTACCCCAGTTCTGTATGTATAAGTAAACAAATCTTTTTTTTTTAAAAAGGGAAAATAAATACTGAGTAATAACTAGTAGTCATTCTGCTGCAAATGAAAATAGATGTTCTGTGAATTGAACATGGATATATGTCAGAGACAGTACGACAGTGTTGCCTGCTATCCTGATTGTTTAGGGAGTTTGGATAATGCTATAAGACTAAAAACACAACAAGTATAAATTCTGGAAATAAATATAAAATTTTTGGAAAGAAAATGTTTACGCTTCATTGTATTTTTCTAACATTTATTTTATTTATTCATTCAAAAATTGGGGTATAGGCCAGAGGTGTGTATTGGGGTGGGGGGCTGTACAAGGATTCACCAGAGACAGAGTAGGGAGCGGAACAGGCTGATCTATTGAAACCCACTGCTGAGGGGAACAGCATGGAGACAGGAGAGGTCTGCTGTGCTTTGTGGTCACTCCCTGGCCGGGGATCGAACTCAGGCCACAGCGGCTGCTGACATAGTACTGAGACAGTGGCTTGTGCCACAAGGGACGCCCTCTTCTCATTTATAGATTGTTATTTTTTTTAACTAGAAAAATAAAACACTGGGAAAAGAAAGTGTTATTAGATGGTCTTTTAATATACTTAGGTAAATAACTTGTCACCTGCCAACAGTGCTCAGTAGAATATATGGTAATCTGCAGGTTGTCCTCCCTCAGCCCTAATACACACCCTTTTGTCCTGCTTTGTGTTACCACAGCCTGGCGCTGCAGACTTTTCCTCCTTTTGCTAGCCCTCTTGACTTTAGTCTTTGCCAAAAGAGGGCGTTGGAAGAACACTTCAAAGCCTGGGAAGACAGCTTTTCAAGTTCCTTCTCTCCAGGCCTGTAGAGGGAGGAGAGGGGACTTCGGGTCGCTGGCGGCGCATGCCCGGCAGAAAGTTTCTTCCGTTTTTTCAAGGGGAATTTGTTCTATCAAAACTTTACTAGTTGAACATAAAAATCAATGAAGCGCCGTTGGAAATTCAGAAACGTCTTGGTTCTACAGTAGGATTTAGACAAAACATGAGAGGAGTTAAAGGATGGGCTGCAACTTGTGAAACTAGTTAACCATTTCGGGGGATATTAATTCTATACTTTTACATTTTCATTCAAATTCCAGATGAGATAATTTTTTAAATATTAAAACTACAGATGAGTATAATGTTAGAGCACAAAAGCCTTTCTTTACCTGACTAGTGGAAAAAATAGTATGAACAGATTGACAGCTCTGTTAACATTTCTATTTTGGATAAAAAGCAACATCGAAATACAGGATAAGCTACAATATAAGAAACGGCCAATCAACGCATTCAACAAATCCGAGAGCTCACTATGGTGAGTGCTAATAGTCTTAATGTACGAGAGCAAATACAATGGGAATACGCCAGGGACAAATCAAACAGGGTCCTTGCAACTGGTTTTTACAGTCTACAGGGAAGAAGCAGACGTGCATACAGGTGCTCACTCACTTCGAAGCCTCTCACAATACCCCTGAATCCTCTACACTGTACTCCCGAGGGCGCAGCTGCGGGGTGGCGGCGCCCGCGGCCCGCAGTCCCGGAGCCCCACAGGCGCGCTAGGTAGGGTCTGCGAGGCGGCGGGCCCGAGGGGCTGAAACGAGCCCCCGAGCCGAAGCCCCTGCGCCCAGGCCCGGGGTGGCCAGAGCCCGGGAGGAAGGGAGGGCCCGCCCCTCTCGGGGCTGGGGCCGGCGCCTTCTCTGCGCCCCAGGCTAGCTTTGGTCTCCCCGGCTAGCTCTTCGCATTCCCAGTGAGGGCGGAAACCAAAGAGCAAAGTAACACCACGCAGGCCAGCGCCATCCTACCTGTCGACCCCGCGGGTGTCGAGGCGCGTGCCGCCGCTGCCTTCTGATTGGCTGGCCCTGAGAATTCTCTCCGTTCATTGGTCATTCGTCTAGAGGAAGGCGGGTTCAGCGGCGAGCGGCCTTCCGGGGCTGTGGGGCTTAGTGCCTGCACCGGCGCATGCGCCGCGCCGTTTCCAAGCGGAGCCCCGCGCGGACTTCCGGCGCCAGACTGACGGCGCAACTGGGAGCGTCTGGGCGGCGGTGGGCGGTGTGTGTCCGGGGGCGGGGGC